GTGTGTGTGTGTGTGTGTGTGTTCACGTGAAGCTGCTGTGGTGATCAACTGGCTCATCCATCCATTCTGAGTCTGAACATACTGTATTAACATTGTGCAGGAGTTTATTACCATAATTACTGTAAACACAGAGGAACTCAGATGTTTGGTAGAACATAGATCTTTGTTTATTTCATAGCTGATATGAAGAAACGAGTCTCTGCGTCTCAGTGGAGTTTTCATAACATGACATGATGTTGGAGAGTCCCCACAAATGCTGCGTGCTCCGCAGCCTTTGTGCTCAGTCTGTTTGTCTGTCAAGCTTTTGCTCTCCTACTTACAGCATTTTCACAAGTTGTAAAGTGTACTTCCACGTGTCATTTTGGAGAAATCTACAACAACACGCCAAGTATGAAACATCTCCACTGCCGGTGAGGGTGCGCGCGCGCCAAAGACACAGAAACATGCGAACGCCAGGACTTGGCATGAGGCTGCGCACATTTCCATGTTCATTTCAGTTTTGATACATCCGGAGTTTTGCGTGGAAAGTGTCGTACGCAAGCTTTTTGTGCGTACAGACGGTTGATACATGAGGCCCCAGCAGAGGACATGGCACCCCAACCCACCACTTACTGTGGAAACTTTACACTGAACTCTCTTCCTCCAGACTCTGGGACCTTGATTTCCAAAGGAAATGCAAAATTTACTTTCATCAGAGAACATGACTTTGGAAAACTCAGCAGCAGTCCGGTCCTTTTTGTCTTTAGCCCAGGTGAGAGGCTTCTGATGCTGTCTCTTGTTCAAGAGTGGCTTGACACAAGGACTGCAACAGCTGAAACCCAGGTCTTCATCCGTCTGAGAGTGGTGGTTCTTGAAGCTCTGACTCCAGCTGCAGTCCACTCTTTGTGAAACAAAACCCATTCAAAAATGTGGGGGAGATTCACAATCCTCTCCAGAGTGTGGTCATCTCTGTTGCTTGTACACTTTTTTCTACCACATCTTTTCCTTCCCTTCGCCTCTCTATTAATGTGCTTGGACACAGAGCTCTGTGAACAGCCAGCCTCTTTAGCAATGACCTTTTTTGTCTTGCTCTCCTTGTGCACCCTCCTGACACAGCCAGCAAAAGAACTAAAATAAAAGACTTGTGGAGAAAAAAATAATAAAAGATAAATAAAAAGTTTAAGAGACACAAACTCTTCAACAAGTAAAAGGAAAAAAACATATTTTTTAAAACAGTTTAGTTAGTTGTGTGCTAAAATACATAATTTGTTGGAACTAAGCTGGAAAAGCAAATATGGTCAATTCAATTGTGAAGAAATTTAGTGTTAGGTAGGTTAGTACTGATTTTAGAAGAACAACACTATATTCTTAGTTCTCCTTTTGAAATATTGACAGTGTTTAATCTATTGTTATGTCTTGATTGAAATAGGTCTGAAATTTTTTTTCAAAACATAAATAACCGTTTGAATACATTTAGGTGAGAATGTTGTCTGAATGCCTGTGACTCAGCCATAGGCCAGCAGGGGGCGAGCGAAGGCATTGAAGAAGCTGTATAAAAACGTAAACTTCAGGTTTTATGGCCAGTGTGGGTTTCCTGTCTGCAGACAGCAGCAATAAACCTCCACTCAGATTCCAGATTCTGGTGTTGTATTGTTTTCATTCCTTCTACAAATCACTTTCCAGACTTCTGCAGACTGTGTAGAAACCCCGAGTTCAGACAGTGTAGTGAAACTAGATATTTATTTAATTTCACCAAATAGGACTTGACAAATCAAACCTGAAGTATTCTGGCCACACAGTGAAGACCAGATCTGAGCCAACCAGAACAGGACCGCCTAATTTACTGGATCTCAAATGTTATAAAATTATCGGTAGTTTAAATTTGAAATGTTGAGTATTTTGATAAAAGTAATTATGTTGTAAATGAAACTTCAGTGACTGTGTAAACTTTCTGAAGAGATATATGAATCTGTTACTGATCTGGTGTTGTTCAACATTTGATTTAGTTTGATTAGAGCTAATTCTACATTTTTATTATTTCAATTAAAAACAGACCCAATGAGGAAAATGTGAATTACTGCAAGTGATTGAGTTTTAAGTCAGAAGGAAAGAAGGGGCGGGGTAACCTGGACTCTGGAGTGTTCGGCTCTGAGGATTCTTTGGACTCAGCCGGATCTGGAAACTGTGGACCAAATTCCACGGAGCAGGAGCTTTGGCTAGAGGCAAACGTTAAGTAAAATGTTGAAGTGACTGATCAGTCCCGCTGCATTGCTTCATGTTGGTGTTTACTAGTGATGTTTAATACTGCCAGTTTTCTTTCCGATACTGATACCAAGTAAAATTTGCCTGGTATCGGTGATACTGATCTGATACGGATACTTCGTGATAACACGCATAATATGTCTGTTATATCTTAAAAAGTACCGCTTTATAAATAATACATGACATAGTAAGTCATTTATTAATTTAAAAGTCTTTCTAACCCTAACCTTATATTTGTTTAGCACAATTTAATATTCTTATCCTTAAGAAATATAATAATTTTTGAATAGTAAATAAAAGTGAGAAAAAATATTTTGAAAAGTTGTTTGTATATTTTGTAGCATTGTTTGTTTACAAGTAGGTCCTTGGCCAGAGGTAATGCTGTTTGGGGGGCCATAGCATGAAAAAGCTTGGGAACCCCTCATCTAGAATTTAATTAAAGTCAAAAGAAGCAGATTTTATGTTAAAATGACCTGCCATACATGCACAGACTGATGACTGACGGAGCACGTGCCACTGTGCTKATGCATTACCCAAGCGGAAGAAAAAGTAGTTCCCTCCAACCACATGTTTAAGACGAGATTGGAATAGTTTAGTTATTTTCCATTATTTTCCTGTTAATGATATACATTATGTGAAATAATTAAAGTATCAAAGTATCGATATTTTGATTTTAGTATCGATTCTAGAACACAAAGTTCTGGTATCGGTAGTATCGATATTTCAGTATTGATCTGCACATCACTAGTGTTTACTGAGGAAGCTGTAAATGCAGCCACGTTAAAGCTCCTCACTATTTAGTCACTATTTCGTCTGGTCTGCAAAGCTTCAAACAACAAGTTCAAACTTTTATTTTCTACAAGAAATTAGCTTCTTTGATGAAAGTTAACCGAGTGCATCTAAGAAGATTCAGGTTTGAAGAATAAAAATGATGAAAGAATGAAGATCTGAACTAATTATGACGACATTAGTGACATCATTCTGTCACACTCCTCATGGTGTTTGGATGCTTTGTGTTCTCTGTACCTCCAGAAGGAGGGGCACTCTCCTCCGTGTCGGTCCCAGAACGTGCTGGGGTTCCAGCAGAATGGGATTCTGGTCTGAGCCTCCTTTCATAGCTGAACTCAGGAAGTCTGGGAGCCTGAGGCCGGGTCTTCCTGGCCGGGTTCAGAAAATAGCAGTATGCACAACGAAATGCTGGAGGGACGATTTGAGAAGAAGTGAAAAGAATTTTAAAAAAGAGCAGAGTCATTTTAACAAACATGACAGAAAACATGGAGAAAAATCAGGCAGGCTTCCAGGTTTTGGTAGAAAAAAAAACAACAACAGTTGATCAAATAAAAACCAGCTGTGAAATTTTTGATCTTACCTACATATTCAAACTCTTCCTTCAGAGCCATGCCGTTGTGAGAAAAACACTGCTGGCAGATCAGAGCGTATCTACAGGAAAATAGGAGAGGCAGTGAGGAAAGAGAAGTCATATTCTCTACCTTGAAGTAGCTTCAACACTTCTAGATTTTATTCACAGATCGATCGAAACTCACAGAAGAAGCACACAAGAGAGGGACATGACTGGATTATCTGTTTTGTTGTGGGTTTTTTGTTCAGTTTTTCTTCTGTTTTATATTTTCTGTCCTGATTATTTTGAACGTTCCCACTAAGAAGCAAAATGAACGTCTGAAGCTTCAACTAGAACTGCTATAAGTCAAACAATAAATACTGTTTACAGTAAGGAAAAAATGAAGAGATTTTCAATAATAAATATCATTCAGTGGCTGTTTTATTAATGAATGATTGAAATATTTTGCTGGGTAAAAAAAATCAATTCAAATCAAATCCATCTTGGATCGATTTCATAAAAAATAAAAATTGCCATATGGATTCAATCAATTTTCCCCAGGACGTTAACCCCAGTAGTCTCCTGCACGATGAAGTTGAGGTGCATTTATGTGTTTTGTGTCACTCCTGGCTTGCCGTACATTTGTGACTGGTTGACGTTTAGCACTAATAATAGCTTCCAACAACAAGACGTTTGGGGCAAAACAAAAGAAACTAAGAAATCACCGACATTACCAGCTGATTCTCTGTGGGACAAAGATATCAGGGCCATGGTAACTTTTAAGCGACTTGTTCAGGTGCTCGAATCAAACTACTGTATGTAAACATCTGAAACGGTTCTCCCCAGGATGTTTGAATGTGTGAAAGACAACAGTCTAGTGAAATTATTTAGTTTTGTTACCATTGTTTATATTTACACTTTAAGAAACAATGTCATAATCATAATGAAATTACAGTGATGGGAAGTATACTTTCAATTTAATTTTAATTCAATTCAAATTCAACTCAATTCAAAAATACTTTATTGATCCCAGAGGGAAATTAGATGTTGCAGTAACTCCTTTAAAGAGTTTTTGTAGATGGTGATGGCTGTGGGCAGGGAAGCTCTTCTGTATTACACTGAAGATGAAGAAACCTCAGACTGAAGACACTCTGTTTTTCTAAGTTTGCCCTCAAAATCTGTTATTTATTTAAGAGAGATACTAAAATTTGTATTTTGCAACACAATGGAAACATTTAATTGAATTGAATCAAATTGATAACGCAGAATCTTATGAATCAAAATTGAATCAATATAGGGATTTGGCCATGATACTCAGCCCTAATCTTTACATTCCTGACTGTTTACATTGAACTGCAGCTCACTGTTGCACGATGTTCCTTTAAACTTAAGCTAATTATTTTGTTCTGAGAATTTCTGTTCTCTTCCTGCACTAAGAATTTAACAGATTGTGGAGCTGTTATAAACAATAAATTTGTTTTGTTTCCTCTTCCAGCAGATAAACTTGAGTGAAACTGCTAAACAAGTGAGTCTGAGCATGAATTATAAGCCAACTCAATGATGAAGCTTTTGAAGAAGAGCCTTCACCTGTTCTGTGGTCCATCTCCCACCAGGTACTCAATGACTCTGTCCAACGCACCCCTGTCTTTGGGCAGGATGGGTCTTGCTAATGGAGGACCTGGGGGGTGCATGCCTGCATATAAAGAGCACATAAAAAAACAATCAAACAAGTCTTTAAACAACAGGAAGCTCTACAGCAGCAGTGTCCAAACATTTTGATAAATAGGTCAAAACTGACAGGTTGAAGTTACTTTCAGGCCACAAAAAGAGAAAGGTTGCTCAGGAAATGCATAGATATGATTTAAATCCACTGTATTTCACTATAAAAGGACAAAAGTATACTAATTTTGGTGGAAAAGGAGTTTGAATTGTATGTAATTACAAAACTGAAAAAGTCCTACAAATGAAAAAATAATCAGTTCCTGTGATTTGTTTGGTGTTTTAGTATATTCTCAATAATAAAAACATAATTAATATAAGTAAAAATAAAAAAGGTGTAGTCTGACAGTAGACACTTAAAGTAGAGACATGATGATTTTAAATCGTTTTTCACATTTAAATCCTTCAGTTGTGGTCTATATAAAGTGGAACTGAATTCCTTCTTATTGGAACTCCACAAGCCCCGCCCCCTTTCTGAGCTGTGTCTCAGATCAACTCCTTTTGAGGCTGTCTCTTTAAATCCAAAGGAGCCCATCATAGCCCGCCCCCCTCCAAGTCTTTTCACCCATCTGAAAGCTAATAGTGACACCCACCTACACCTGGTATAGGAGAACAGGGGGTCCTCAGGACAGCTCCATGGAGTCCAGAGACATTAGGGGTGGATTTCTCTGGTGGTCCTCCTGGAGCTGAGAGAGGAACACGTTCTGTTGGAGGAGGAAAACCCAATAAAGGCACGCATTCATGCCTAAAACAGTAAAGTCATTCAGACCAACCTCAACCTCAGCAGCAATGAGTTCTTTTATTGTAGATTTCAAAAGGTTCTTAGCAACTTTATGAACCTGACATAAAAGTAGTTATCCCAAAGGAAAATTTTAACTACTTTTATTTCAATTAAAAAGTTTATTTGTTACAAGCATAAAAAATCAAATCAACTCAAGTTGCAATTTTTAAAGTACTTGCCTGATTTTAAAAATCTAGTCGTTTTATTCTCATGACAATTATTCTATATTACATTATTTGAACCACTTTTGAAAATATTGTGTCCCAAACGTGGCAAAAAATGACAAAATCGCACCAAATGAAAAATGTTATCCAATCAGCCAAAGCCATTTTCATATCATCATATCTTAGTAAGTATGACACCCACAAACCAAAAAATCATTACGCTTATTGACATTCGATAATATAAGATTCCCCAGATATGTTAGATAAATCAGTCACTTAGGTTCTGAGAAACTGGCCCTCAAAAACACAAAAATGGTAAAAAAAAATTACAAAAAGTGCAAAAAAGAAAAAACTAAACCTTTTCCTGTAACACTTCGAAACTTTGCAGTTGGTGAGAAGTTGTCCCATAAATTAGATATTTAATGTATTTTTTTTTTAATATGCTGTAACACCACATTATGTAAGGATGTAATAAAATCAGGCTTCAAAATGTAATAAACCCACATTATGTAATAATTGACACAAAATGTCATAAAAGACTTCTACGCATTTAGTAATACTCGCAGCCGCATTATGCAATAAAAATTTTACATTTTGCAATTCACACCTTGGACCTCAACCTAACCCCCATCCCAACAATTATTTTTAAACCAAATGGGGACTCCACTTAGGTCCCCATATGTACCAATGGTCCCCACATGTAGATGTTTTGTCTTAAAATGGTCCTCATGTGTCACAAAATACCCATCCACACACAATGTCCTGTTTTTGACTGATTCAAATTATGAAAAGTAGAAAATTAAAAATAATAAAAACGACTAACTGTATTTTAGTGGCTGAATTTGCAACCATCCGATAATGTCTCCTTATTTCTTTGCAGGAGGAGAGGAGAGAAAGGCATGAGGCAGAGATGCAGTGTCGATCACAACGCTCCTGCTGTGTAAAAATAAGGACATTAAAATTTATTTTAATTTCTTAAAATAAATGTGAATCGTTTACACTCAAGTGTCGCTTCACATTCTGTTCCCCTCCATGAAAAAATGAAAAATCACTTTTACCGACTCAGTCTTTGTTTTGCTGCATTTTTCTTTGACACTTTCTATTACATTCTGCTTAAATCAAATCTATTTTTCTGCCCTGTGTTAATTTATTCATTTTTAAGCAGTAGCGGCAGAGCGCTGTGATTGACAGCTGACGCTGTGTCTCTGCCTCATGCCTTTCTCTTTTCTCTCCTCTTTCTTCTGCAAAGGAATAAGGAGGCATTATCCGATGGTTGCAAATTGCAGCCACTAAAATAACTTTAAAAAAACTACAACATAGAGTAGTTTTTTAAAGGCTTAAACTAAACTTGTTGAACTTTTGTGTGTTTCCCAAGACTGCACTAATTTTCTGCCAGAATCTGACTGGCCTTTGGGATACCTAATAAAAGCAGGACTTTAGTCTGTCTCCTTACCCACTGGTGTACCCCCTGGTCCCAGCACAGGCCGTGCTGCAGGCTGAGGGGTCATTACCATCGAAGTTGGGGTGCCCATCGCCATGGGTCTCATTGGACCAACCCTCTGACGGATTTCTGCCAAGAAAACAAATCCTGACATGTTTTCTGCTCTTTTAAACACAAAAGTTTTTTATATGAATTATTTCACTGAGAAGTTTTTAGTTCAGATTAAAGTCAAACTGTTTTAAACACTATGTTGATCGGAGGTGCAGACATGTTCTGATTCTATTTAAATTATCAAAAAATGTACTTCATGCATGTTAATAACATCCTAAATAAAAGCAGAACACAGCAGTGCAGAAGTTCAGTGTCTGGACTGTTTACAGTGTTTACTCTTTACCCAGCCCTAAACAAAACTAAGCTTTTATTTTCAAAAACTAGCTGCACAAAATGTCAGAACAGCTCACTGATCACAAATACTCAGAATTTAATGTGACTGAAACTGAAACTTTGTCCATTTTCATACCCAGCTGAATCTCCAACAGACAGGGCCAGTAAGATACTACAGCCTGAGGATTGTTTTAGATGATTTGAATGTTCATCATTGTTTTCACACTGAGGTCTGTGAATTCTGACTGAATGGACACAAAGTGCTTAAAGATTCCCACCCCTAATACATGTGTGTGTTGTACCTTGCCCTGGACCAGGGGTCATCAGAGGACGCACGGGTGTTGACTCCATTTCCTAAAACCCAACAGTCACACTTAAACTCAACAGAGACCTTTAACAGAAGCAGAAACAAATCAAGGCTCCAACACTCACAGCTCGCTTTTTAGCTTCTGGATCAAAGCGTTCCAGGATAAGTTTAGCATTTTTGTAGGTTTCTGTTTCCATCACCTCCTCCAACTATAACCAAACCAGAAACAAAGGTGTAAAAGTTCTTCTGTAGTTCAAACAGAGTTAAAGGAATGACTCCAACACTTGAAACTTAATGTGAAGAACAGAAAACTTACAATCTTTTTCTTTGTGGCTTTTAACTCCTCGAGTTTATCACCTGAAGAGACAGAAACAATTTCAGTTTGCTGTTTTGATTTACACTGTCTGTCATAAAAATGATCAAACTTTTCTGAGTAGCATTAAACAGAAGACACAAGGTTAATGAATCTGTGCTGTATCAAAGTCAGTGCCTGAAATTCACTTTTTAAACTGGGGGGGGGGGGGTTCCTTACTTGTTTCATCATTTTTTTAGTGGTGGTGGAGGTGTGGCCGGGTATTACTCATGAGCACAACTACAGGGCTTGTGTTGTGCTAACCAACATAAAACCTGTCAGATTAATATGCTGTTTTTATTTGCCTCCTTCTGCCTTCCTCGTTGTTATCTTGGCTGCACTCTTGTCTCCTGTTTGAGAGGCTCTATCAGAACACAGAACCACTAAATGGATAATCAGCACCTGTTGATGTTCCCTCTGGCAGTTCAGAAATCACCAATAGAGATGCTCTCTCACCACGCTCACATGCACTTTCAGAGAACATTAATCAGTACAGAATTAATAGAGGCGTGGAAAATCCTCAGCTGCTCTGATTCAAGCTGTCTGCGGAAGGAGTTGCTCCTTTATTATGCTGCTGATGTCAAAATACATCTAAATGTCTTTTTAGGGTTTTAAGTTTCAGGGTTTCCAGCAGCGCATTCTTAAGGCTCCAGCATGCTACTGCTGAACTGCCGAAATTGTGCCGAACTGTCGCTGTTTTATGACGAAAATTGCGTCACTTCTGTTCGCATTGTCTGCATTTCTTGTCGCAACTCGCGGGTCGAACTTTTCACCCCCCTCCACATGAGAACACATACGAACTGTATGGTGTGATTGATCGTTCGTGAGAGTGTTTTTGTTTATGCTCAGACACTGCATTTGCTTCAACCACTCGCTTAAAAAAAAGGAAGAAAAAAAAACATCGCTTCCAGAGCCGACTGCTGTACCAGGAAGCAGCGATTTTAACAGTTTTAGTCAAATGGCCAAACACTTATAAATGGGGATAAAACAGACATTTTTCACAGTGGAATCTAACTGATAAAAACTTTGGAGCTTAATCCAGGACCAGTTTGAGGATAAACGTCGAGCAAGCCGCAGACTCTTTTTTTTTTCCGCATTGGACTCCCCCGAGAAGGAATCCCATGCAGTGACGTATGCTGCAGTGGGAGGGGTTTCCCCAGGACCTGAGCTCGGGGTGTCTCACTATGAAACTATGAACACTATGAACTATGAAAAGTATATGCGAAAACGAACACCGAAAAACCACGTGACGGCGCGTCGACCGGTCAGCTGCCGAGCGACCATACTGCAGGCTTAAGCCTGGCGGGTCGCCAAGATTTAAATGCCTCCCCGCCAGGCTTTAACACAGAGCGAGGGTGTCGGCACCGACACGTTTTCACCTTTTTTTAAAATGCCGTAAGTTCTCAACCGTTTGTGCAATCTGAAAAATTCCATCGGTTCCTGAAAGCCAGGAATCTGGACTTTTCGCTGACATGTCGGTTTTTACAGTAATATCACATGACCAGTTGCAGTAAGCCCGCAAAACAACCTCTTTGTTTACCCTCCTCCAAAGACACTCAGTGCAGAGTGTAGTGGAAATTTACGAGTGATAGCGTGCTTTTTTTTCAGAGCAGAGAGGAAATATTTTGTTAGAACAATGTCTGGAAGATGTTCTTCAAGAGTCATCAAACCACCACGGAGGTTCCAGGAAGATTTTGAGACCTAAGAAGACGGTGAGGAACCGGCTTCTTGGGAATAAAGGTAATGTTAGTTTGATGGAGTTTCTGAGCGCATCAATTCTTACTTTTATATAGGCTGAAGCATAAGTGGACATGGAGGCTGAAGCCAGATAGAGAGCAGCAGTGAGGATGCTGAAGGTGATGTGGATGCTGTGAGAGACAGAAGCTGCTCACCAAATCTTTTCAGATGGAGGACTGAAATTGAGTATCATGATGTAGTTCCTAATGTGATGTAGGACTGTGTCTACAGCTTGATAGGAACTGCTTCTGGCAGTATCACAAAGACAGAGTTTGGGGGGAAAAGGGAAAAAAATGCCATGTATATGGTTTTCATTTTTGGACTGTTTTTTCATTTATTTACAAAAAAACAAAAASTTTCACTGYAAGTAGTTTATATACTGTCTAAATTTCATATTTTTGATGCCAAATTATTTCGTTATGTACATTTGTTGTGATTTTTTCCTTAGTAAAACCTCAAACAAATTTCGTGTTTGGTTTTTATTCATTTAAAACTAATATTACACTATTTTAATATGCAGTAAGTTTTAACTACCTGCCAGCTTATAATGGGTGTTTAAGTATTGTCAACGATGTCTTACAATAACACATAATTACAATTACATAATATTTTCTAATTTTCTGTCAACTTTAACATTTTTTAACAAAAACATGGTGGGCCGCTGGTGGGCTGCAAAAGCGGCCTTACCACCGGGCTTTGCTGGTTTTCTGGGGGAAACCCTGAGTTTCAAAAAAATCTGACTCTTATTACAGTTGTGTATGTGCTGCTGCATACTTTCAGCAAGACTGTGTGCCGATAAAGTTTGTATTTATTTCCTCCTCAGCACTTACACAGACAAAGCTTGCAGGCAAAAATAACAACAAAAAACTACCCACATTTGTGACATTTATTCAAAATACACCTGTCTTTACACTAATCATTGAACTAACTCATATAGATACAAACTATCAATTATGAAATATTAAAAAAACAAGTAGAGAAAAAAATTCTAATCACTGTGAAAGTAATTTGTTTTCCTACATTTTAATGTATGTTTCCTCTCTTCTCTGGAAGGTAAACATATTGACTAGATGTGCCCTGATGGGTTAATGTTCCAGGTTCTGGAGGGGGTGGAGCTAGGTGTGTGTGAGAGGAGATGAGTGTTTATGTTTAAATATTAAAAGGGTGGGTGTTTTGTAAATAAAAGGTTCCAAACTTTAGATTTTTGGTTTAAATAGCCTGAAAAAGTTTGGAACGTTACATCACGCCTGCCAGTAAAAACTGCCATTGGGGCATGCAGGAACTAGCAGCACGCAGGAACTAGCAGCACTTGGTCCCAATACTCCAAGTGTTGGGACCAGTGTAAAACCAAGTGTTTAAAGTGTGTCCATGCCTGGATCTGCTCCGGTGCGGCGGGTGCTAGTGGGGCCTGTAAGCTCATCGCTGCTGGCCCTGGGGGTTACTGCGTGAGGTCGCTGAGGGGGCTCTCCTGGTTCTCTCGTATGGTACGGTCATACGGTCTGGGGGGTGGGTGGGCAGTTCTTTCTGCGCTGGTGCCCCTGGGGGCTCCGCGCTTGGGGCCCTTCTCAGGGTCTTTGGCCCTGGTCTCCCATGTCTGCTTCAGGTCTGTGGGTCTCCACAGTCACTATTAAATTGGAGAAGACTTGTTTATACATGCATGCTCACAACCGCACACAAACAGGTGTTCAGATCCTGGGGTTTCTAACAGTCACTGAATGTGGCTATTTTATTAGGTGCACCTGTCCTACTGCCCATTAACGCAAATGTTGAACCAGCCAATCACATGGTAGCAATTCAATGCATTTAGGTATGTAGACATAGCCAAGATGATCTGCTGCAGTTTAAACCGAGCATCAGAATGGGAAAGAAATGTGAATTAAGTGACTTTGAATGTGGCATAGTTGTTGGTACCAGACAGGCTTGTCTGAGTATTTCATAAACTGCTGATCTACTGGGATTTCCACCCACAACCATCTCTAGGGTTTACAGGGAATGGTCCCAAAGAGAGAAAATATTCAGTGAGCTGCAGTTCTGTGGGCACAAATGCCTTATTGATGCCAGAGGTCAGAGGAGAATGGCCTGATTAGTTCGAGCTGATAGAACGGCAACAGTAACTCAAATAACCACTTGTTACAACCAAGGTCTGCAGAAGAGCATTTCTGAACACACAACACGTCAAACCTTGCGGCAGATGGACTACAGCAGCAGAAGACCACACCGGGTGCCACTCCTGTCAGCTAAGAACAGGAATTCACACAGGCTCACCAAAATTGGACAATAAAAGATTGAAAAAGCGTTGCCTGGTCTGATGAGTCTCAATTTCTGCTGCGACATTCAGATGGTAGGGTCAGAATTTGGAGTCAACATGAAAGCATGGATCCATCCTGCCTTGTATCAACAGTTCAGGCTGGTGGTGGTGCAATGGTGTGGGGGATATTTTCCTGGCCCACTTTGGGCCCATTAGTACCAATTGAGCATTGTGTCAACACCACAGCCTACCTGAGTATTGTTGCTGACCCTTTATGACCACAGTGTACCATCTTCTGATGGCTACTTCCAGCAGGATAACACGCAGAGTCATAAAGCACAAATCATCTCACACTGGTTTCTTGAACATGACAATGAGTTCACTGTACTCAAATGGCCTCCACAGTCACCAGATCTCAATCCAATAGAGCATCTTTGGGATGTGGTGGAACGGGAGATTCACATTATGGATGTGCAGCCGACAAATCTGCGGCAACTGTGTGATGCTATCATGTCAATATGGACCAGACTCCCTTGAGGAATGTTTCCAGTACCTTGTTAAATCTATGCCACGAAGGATTAAGGCAGTTCTGAAGGCAAAAAGGTGTTCCAACCTGCTGGTACTAGCAAGGTGTATGCATATGGGTATGGGTATATGTACCGTATTTTTCGGACTATAAGCCGCAATTTTTTTCCTGAACTTTGAACCATGCGGCTTATAGTCTGGTGCGGCTTATATGTGGATTTTTTCTTCAGCCACCAGGGGGCTCTTATGCTCCATTCGCTTCAACCACTCACTTAAAAAAAAGAAGAAAAAAAAAGAAAAAAGCGATTGCTTCCAGAGCCGACTGTTGTACCAGGAAGCAGCGATTTAAAGATAGTCAGTGGCCAAAAACTCATAAAAGGGGATAAAACAGACATTTTTTCACGGTGGAATCTGACTGATAAAAACTTTGGAGCTTAACCCAGGACCAGTTTGTGGATAAACGTCGAGTGAAGAGCCGCTGACATTTTTTTTGGCATTGCACTCTCCGGGGAAGGAATCCCATGCAGTGACGTATGCTGGAGCGGGAGGGCTTTCCCAGSAGCTGGGCTCTGGGTTTCTCGGGGGAACTATGAAAGGTCAGTGCGAAAACAAACGCCGAACAATCACGTGATGGCGCGTCGACCGGTCAACAGCAGAGCGACCATACTGCCAGCTTAGCCAGAGGTGTAGCGCCATTTTATTTTAGTTAGTAGCAGACACGACACGACGGATCTTCGACAGACACGATATTGGACAGTATGTGGGCCCACATCACGGATTCGGTGAAAGCAGCCATCAAGAAAACAAACTCAATTCCTGCTGTTATTCCTGGAGGTACAACAAAGTTTTTGCAACCCCTGGACATCAGTGTGAAACGTGCATTTAAAGCAGCACTCAGGGCTGAATGGGAGGCTTGGATGACTGACAGGGATAAATCATTCACAAAAACTTGCCGAATGCGAAGAGCGTCATTTCCTGATGTCTGCCAGTGGATTCTAACAGCGTGGAGCAGAGTGAATGAGTCCACCATCACCAATGGGTTCTGAAAGGCTGGACTGCTACGTGAAGAGGACACCACAGCTTCAGAGCCAGCATTACCCCGGGAGGACAGCGACACAAACACTGAACAGATACTGCTGTGTGACGCAGCTTTTCTCAGCTTGTTTAACTCTGACACTGAAGAGGACTTCGATGGTTTCAGTGCGCCGGAGGACGATGAATGAGACGTTTTGTTGGACCAGAAACTGTTAAAGAAAACTACCAAAATAAGGTCAGATATATGAACCGTATTCCTCTGAACTTTAATTCTTAAATGTTTGCTTTTTATATTTTGATGTTGAATTCACTTTTTTGACGACAAATTTGGATGTACTGTTTTTTTTATGTTGGGGGTGCGGCTTATATGTTAATGTTCGCGGGGTTTTTTTTTTTAAATGGCGGGTGCGGCTTATAGTTCGGTGCGGCTTATAGTCCGAAAAATACGGTATGTATGTATGTATGTATGTATGTATGTATGTATGTATGTATGTATGTATACTTTTCAGCAATGTTATAATTATTATATACACATGTTGCTGTATTTTTGTTTTCTCCATTTTTGCAGGTGTGCAGACAGATGTCGGGTGTGTTGTCTTATGTTTTCTTGGTGTATATTTCACATCTTCTAATCTCTCTTTCAATCTTTTCCATTACATTTCTCCTTTTTCTTCTCTTTCTTTTTCTTCTTCTCTAGATTTACTTCTCAAAAAAAAGTCACTGATGATGAAGAAAATAATATTAAGTTCTGTTTTTTACTGAAGTGGCTTAAAAATATTAAAATAAAAAAGTGTGCTCAAGTGTGCAGGTTACAAGCTAATTTTTCATTAACGTATGAACATATTTTGCTTTTCATGAAAAGAATACTAATATAAACAAAAGATAAGCAACTAATCTAGAATATTTAGCAAATTTCATATTCACAAATGTACATTTTCATCCCTTTCTTTAACAGTTTTGATTAAAGAAACCAAATTATATTTATCTACTATATCTAAGAATACAAACAAAAAAGCTGTGAACACATACGTATGTTGTAGCTCATTGAATATATTTAATTTATGATGTTTTTTGTACTTAATGTATTAGTACCCTGGCATCCTTTAATTATTCTGTTATGTTCCTTGTTCTTTCTTTGTATTTGGACTTGAACTTACAAAAGATTGTTTCAACAATAATGAAAAAATAAATAAAAATAAAAATAAAAATGTCACATACAGCGATGAATTGTGGGTAATATACTTTACTGAAGTCTGCATCCAAGCAGACTTCAGTGAAGTGTGAATCAAGGGCGCAACAGAGGTGGGGCCAAAGACCACTTTGGACAACCGGGACTAACCGGGACACACTATGCACTCAAACCTCTCAGCATAAGTACACAAGGGTGGAAGTGTGAGTATTGTGACTGGGCCACTGTCATTGTGGGAGCAGCTTTCTCATTAACTGATGGTGATTTTGTCGCTTTAAATGGCCTTACAAAACACAAAAACTTCTTTTTTTGCCATCACTGAATGTAGAATACAACTTTTCAGTGACGTGCAAAGATAGACTTCATGTTTGAAGTCAATTTCCTTGATAACGATCTTTGCTTAACCCTCCTTATTCATGACTGTACCTGTAAAAACACTAATATAATATTTGGTCATAATGCCAAGCACTCAAAGGAAGCTCAAGGACAGAGACGGAAGAGAATTAAAAAAAACTGTCTGAGATAGTGAGAACTTTGACGAGGATGTAAATGATCCATTATTTGGATTAGAAGACGAGCGCAGGACAAACTGACAGGAGAAGTTTAGGTCAGTCCACCCTACAACATTAATCGTATTCATCACCAAGTACCACATTTTAACTGTAGAAAGTTTTACTACAATTAAATGCATATAACATTTGGCCAAACCCTACATCACCAGGTGAGAGTTGAGACTACTGACCAAATATACTATGACAAGAACATTATTGTTGCTTATTGATAAATATGATTTACTGCAGTCCAAAACTCCTTTGCGGTGTTGAAATTCCTTCAAGCAGTGCTAAACTTATTATTATATATAACAGTGTGCTTCAAAAGTTAGATTTCACATCAGGGGACTCAAGCAGCAGCACAGAAGACAAATTACCAATTTAAAACAATCCTTTGTCAGAATAAAAATTTAAGTCTGTATTTATTATTTGTGTCCAACACAAGTTTGAGAAGGAGATTAAACTGAAGGATAACTTACTGTTTCTTTCAGTGCGTTTGGAAAAGAGAAAGATCAATAACTTTCTGATCAACCACACGCTGAAAAAGACAGAGATTCATGTGTTCATTATTAGGCTCATATTTAAACGTTTTATCTTATGAAGCAGTTCTAAAAAAAACTCACTGTTGGCCTTTCAATTTCTAAATGAATGATCTCAAAGTACAAATAAAGACAGATATGACAGCAGCTGTAATAATGCTGTTTTGAGGGCTCTCACAGTGCAGGATAAATGAAGAAAGGCAGGGTCATGGCGAGTCTCTGCAGCCACTCATCAGGCAGGTAGAGGTAGTACACAACCAGAGAGGTGAGCAGGTACAAAACAGACGAGTAGAATAGGAACCGGCCGACCCACAGCTGCAGACACATTAAAATAAAAGGATTAAAATAACAGCTCAAGAATATCTAATATCTCTTTTCTGTGCTGATTTTACTTTTTGCAGACGCTGGTTTTTGGCTCTAAACTCCTCCAGTTCTTTTATCTCCTACAGAAAAAAAAAAGCAAGAAACCATAAGTTACCTGAACAGCAGAGAAATGCAAAGTTTACTGTGAATTCCTACAACAAACAATGAATTCAGTTCGAGAAAGCTGTAACTTAAATAGAAAAACACCTTCCACCCACGCAGACAAGTCAATGGATGGTTCAATTTAGTCCAGCTCAGACACATTCTGACGCGTCGACAGACCTAGTGTTGGTTTTGTGTCACGCTGAGTCAGAAAATTAAAAGATTATTAAAAAGAACAGCTTTAGTAAAAGACTGGCATATTAGAAGTGTAAAAAAATATTCATACACTGAAATATCACAATATTTCATTTACCAATACTGTATCAATTCTCTAAAGCAGCGGTTCTGTTTCCCTTTTCTAAATAAAAGTTTGTAACTATTTAATTTACTCATTTATGTGTCTGCATATCCAATAAACCTTGTTGGTTCTTTAAAGAGTAACTTACCCCAAATTAACATTTTTTAGCTGATAAACTGTCTAGAATGTGTCTAAAATGCAGTGGTGGGCACCAGTCCGCTAAAGCGCACATCCGCTAATTGCGGACCTAAATATTTCATTTGCGCTTTAGCGGTCTTACTAAATTTTGTTATTCATAAGCGGATTTGCACTTTCTAAAATTAAAACGCAGTACCACTAATAACTAATTATCTATGAGTCTTCATCACCTTGAACAGCAGAAGGTATGGCTTGTCATTTAAAACTGGGGCAGAACATCATCTGGTATCATTATAAAGATAATTCCCTAAAGATTTCATTATTTTCTTGAACAGAAGAAAGGGCTTGGTGTTAGTGGCCAACACTGTGAGGAAACACAATATTGAAACACCGCCTTCTTTGGCGTATGATAAAATAACAGAAAGCTTTATCATGTGATTAACTGTTCTGCGTGACGGTTCTGAAATTGTATATATTTATATATTTTTGTGTGAGTGTGTATATATGTTGTGTATATCTTTTGTTTTTAATGTGTATAAATTTTTTGGTTTTAAATGAAAGGAATAAACAATTTAAACTAAACTAAAAATTAAGAGACACCTTGTAAGTGTGTCACACCTTGTAAGTGCGTCATAACACGCCCTTCTCCATCGGCGCACTTGCTGTGGTTGGTTCTGATCTGAGGTTCTGATCTGAGGTTCAGCTGAAGTGTGTCTCCAGTGACCTCATGTAGGGTTAGGGTTACACATAAAGTTGTGTGCGCCAGGTTCTATGCCCACATTGGGACGTATTAAAACCAACGTTCTGTGCGGCAGCCCAGCAAAGTTTTTAAGTCGACAGTTTTAACTCACAAAGTGCATGAATCTGACTTGAATCCACAGAAATATGACTCTGTTCTGTTTTCTGGATGTAAGGAGCGTCTGCACTGCGAGTTCCTGCCGCGGTGTGGGACTGGGAACAGCTAACAGGTGATCCATGCGCACAACTTTACGCAGTAAATATTGCGTCTTGTGGGGCGGGGGAGTCGTCGCAGCTGTTCTGAAATGCAGTGCTGGGATTTTTCTCGGTGAGAATTGGGGTGTTTCTTTCACACGTTTTGTTCTCCCCAGCTGTGTGTGCGCTCGCCGGGCCGTGCGCTCTGCGTGTGGTTCCAGCTGCGTGGCAACAATATGGGGACTTTGTAGTTTGCAGTAGCCTGGAGGTTCTTTGATCCTTTTTGGGCTGATCTATTTTCTTGTCTGGGGTTGGGTGGTTTTCGGTCCCAGTGTTCAGTTTCATCATCGCTCGAATTTGAACAATAAAAGTGAAACAAAAAAAAAATCTAATGCGCTATTAAATTTTTTGTTTAATTTTTGTTGTTTGGACTCGAGCGATAGTGGGGCTGGGCCCCGGGACTGAGGATCATTTGGCCTCAGACAGGAGGGTGGATCGGCCTGGGAATGGTCGGGGAGCATCCTGTCTACTGTGGACTGTGGAGTTTTTGTGTTGTCGCGTGGTTGGGGTCGCACGCGGAGCGCTTGGCCTGTAGAGTGCACGCATGGCTGAGGAGAGTGAGGTGTGTGAAAGAAACATTTTGGTTCTCACTGAGAAAGAACTCAGCGTGTTGATTCGGAGCATCTCGGCTGTGATGATTCCTCAGCTCCACAAGATGCAGACAATAGATTTGTTGCTGCGTAAAGTTGTGCGTAATTTATGGATCAATGTCAGCTGTTCTGCCGGCTGATATCACCACAAGAAGAATTGAGGACAGCGTGTTTTTTTGTTTGTTTATTTGTATCACACCAAAAAAAAACACAATCAGGTATTTTACTGTAGTTCTGAGTCGAGTCATGCAGCTGATCTGAATGAGAAACTTCACGATTCTAAAATATAAATTCTACACCGCGGCAGAAACTTGCAGCGCTGCGAGTCACTCGTTCCTTAACTTCAACTATTTAATAAATATTTTTCTACGTTCTACAGAATTCATAAGTTCCTGTGTTTACAGTCATTTATTAAAGACGTGTAAAGGTGTCTTGCACCGCTGCAGCACACACGCGCACACACACCAACACACCTTTGCGAGTGGCAAACTAATTTTTACACCTGACAATTTTCTCACTCATTCTCCATTTAATGTATAAATTTCCTGCATCTAAAAATCATTTCTGATGCAGAATCTCACACGCTGGATACATTTACATCTATTTTTCATTTACCGTCACAGATGTACCCGGAAAGCATCACTTCAGTTTTCCAATAAACAGTTTTAAAATGATTTTATTAATGCTTCTTTAATGAAAAATCTACAAACAAAAGAAAAAGACAAAGAAGCAGCCGCAATCAACAACTTTTTAAAGTATCAGCCAAACTGCAAGCCTCAACAAGTTTTAAATTTTTAGACCATGAGCCAAAGGTCTGTTTGATGAAATCAGATCCCCAGCAATAGGTGGTTGTAAAACGAGCTGTACAAGGGTTCATCCACCACTTGTGGGCAGCAATGCATATATAATGTGTACAAATTGTAGCCAGCTAGAAAGTGTCAAATTGAACCTACGGTCTTAAATTAGCTTCCACTAATATTTCTATTGCACCAGCGGATTAGAAATTGCAGACCTAAATATTTTCATAAGTGCTTTAGAAATTGTGGAAGTAATTTTTAAATTAGCGCTGCCCACCTGTGTCAAATTTTCAAATTTTGCCTTGGGGTGGAGTTATCTTTTCACAGTGGGGTAAGATACACTTTGTTTCTTTTTTCAGACATTTGATAAGTTTCCTGCTCGGCCAACTAGGCCTGTCGCGATAGTCAATAAATCAATTAATTGCACGATAATTATTTTGAGTTCGGTAAAAAATGAGGACGATAAGTTTCATTTTCTTGCTTATTCGTTTACTTCCTCTCTCTCTCTCTCCCTCTCTGTGCTCCGCTGCACATGGGGCTCAGCTGACTCCTCCCCTCCTGTTTTCTTAGTGTCGGGAGGAGTGAATTCTCGCTTTAGCATGAGAGCTCGTAGCAATAACAAACTAAAGAAATGTTTCAAAGCAGAACGCGGCTGCTGCAGTGTTGGAGCACTTGCAGAGCCTGAAATTCGCGGCGGGGGGGTGAGAGAGAGAGAGAGAGAGAGAGAGAGAGAGAGAG